CGGGGGGAAAAACCCAAGAGTAAGCCCCCCCTTCCCGGGCTTGGGTTATTCCCCCCGGCCCCCCTTTTGTGGGGCTTTGGTTTTTCGGGGGTCCTTTATTGTAGCGTTCCATCCGTTCCCCCGGGAAAAATATTTCCCTCAGCAAGCGAAAAAAAAAAGGAAGGTTCCGCTTTTGCCCCCACCCGCAAGAAATTAGGCGGCTGTTAATTTGGTTTAGCCGCTTTTCTTCTTTTTTCCTCCGTTGCCGGAAAAGTGGCACGCCCAGAAAAGTACAAAAAAAAAAGGGTAGTGTTTTCTTTTAATGGGGCCGCCCGCCAATCCAGATGGATGGTTCACCGACATCCAATTAGGGTAACCCGGGTAAATAAGCTTGGGAACACCTGGTTTTTTTTAACAACTCCAATCAATTTCATTGGGCCATCCATACACAGGGGGACGACATGTTGGGGGTGATGGTTTTGGTTCTTTTTGAACAAAACTTTTCAACCTTTCTTCAGCCAGCCACGCACGTCTTAAAACAAAAAACCCACAAGGGGCGGGACCCAAATTTCCCCCCAAGCATTTTTATAGCGGGGCGGGCGCCTGCTCACTTTCCAAATAACTTGGTTGGTCTTTTTTTTTTCCCCCAAAATATTTTTACGAAGTTTCCTGCCCTCGAATTGAGGTCTGCCCGTCCTCATCCATGGGGGTTGTGGGGGGGGGGGGGGCAAGAATCTCCCACCCTCAGACACAAGCCCTACCTACCCACAAATTATGCCTCGTACGTACGTACGGTGCCCAGCAATGACGACGCCCACGTACGTACGTACGTACGTTACCCTCGACCCTTAACGCTTAGACCTTCTTCGGCCGGCCGGCGAGTGCCTCCCGTCGTCATTCCTTACTATTTTTCACTTATTTTTTCTTTCTTTTTACGAAGCGGACCCTAGCACCATCACCACGGACAGAAAAACACGCATGACGCATGACGCATGCAAACGCAGACGAACACGAACACGAACACGCGAACGGTTTTTCCGGTTGACTTGCAACCTACGACACCACCACCGCAACGAACACGATGATGGTGTGGCACGGACAGAGCGGCAAACGCAGACAGCAGCAGCAGCAGCAGCAGCAGCAGCAGCAGCAACGAGCACGCACCAATCACTCAGTACAAAAACCAGAGATGGCGCGAGCCTGGTCGCCGCCTGCGGACACACAAGCAAAAAAAAAGGGAGAACCAACCAACCATCGGCCGGACTCGCAATGGCATCTTGTCGCGATACAACATCGAAGAGCGAACGGAAACACGATACTTACCATACACGGACAAAGCTCCACACAAGCACGACCTCGAATCGCCCACCCGCCGGGTAGAAACAGCGACGAAGGCGCATACAGGCACACAAGTCACAGGCCCATGGTGGTCAGCAGCACTAGGCAGCTACACGTCCCAACCGGTACAGTGTCCGCAACGAAAACCACCATCATCAGCACAACGAAAAAAAAAAGAAGAAAAAATAAAAAACCACGCCACACCCAGGACACAACAGCAAACAAGAAATCAACCAAGGCTAGCCAGCACGGCCTCAAAGGTTGGCCTAGCGGCGGGGTCGCCCTTCCAGCACGCCCTCGCCAGGTTGGCCAGGTCCGGGGGACAGATCTCCGGCATCTCCGGTCGCTCTCCGCTCGTCACCGCCATTGACAGATCTCCGACATCTACGACGTGTTCCCAGGGCACCTTGCGGGACAGGCACTCCCAAAGCACCACGCCGAAGCTGTAGACGTCGCTGTGAGCGGTTGCCCCTCTGTGGCGCAAGACCTGATTTTAATAGATAGCAGCAATAGATGAGAAGAAATCCGTGGGTTTCGATTATTGGATGCTCCTCGATATCGGATGTTTTTCGCGATTCGTAGCAATCGATTGTAGACTTTGGTCCACGGGTTTCGATATTGGATTTTTTTCTCGTTTTCTCGATTCGTATGCATATGATACACGCATCCGGCGACGTGGCTACGGGGGGGGGATACGTGTCGAATGGGGGAACGACCCAGACGAGCCAAAGAGTAAAATCTCATCGCGATGGAACGAGGAGGGCGAGAGACAGGCAGAAGAGCGTCAGACGCGCCCCGCGATACAAAACGCGTAGGAGGGGGGGGGGGGGGAGGGGGGGATTAAACTGGGAGTTAGTACGCTTTCGTGCCGCGCTGATTCCGGGAGGGCCGGTGCTATGGGGGGCGGTTTTTGTTTTCCGCGACCCCGTAGCTGGCGATGATTTGGGTAGGGGGGGGAAAAACTGTTTGCTTGGGCCCCCATTTGTTCCGCCAT